AGCGTGGCCTTCAAAGATCTTATGACATACTTAAGACCTAAGCCGCTGCTGAGTCAACCTGCAGAAGGAAAGACCTTGTATCTATACTTAGCCATCTTTCCCGAAGCCGTCAGCTCTATCTTGGTTCATGAAGAGGATAACACCTAGAAGCCGGTGTACTATGTCAACCGAATATTAAAAACTAGTGAACTAACCTACCTTTCATAAAGAAGGTTGCCTTCATCCTCGTTACCACAACTAGGAGGCTCATCCTTACTTTCAAGCGCATTTTATAATCATCCAGACAAGCTTGCTTTTGAAGAAAGCTCTCAGCAACGTCACCACTTCAAGAAGTATGGTCACCTGGTCGGTCGAGCTAAGAAAGTGCGATGTACAGTTTAAGCCAAGGACGACTATCAAAGCCCAAGCATTGGCCAACTTCCTCATTGAGTCAACTTATTAGATAATGAACCAGTCGCGCCTTCACCGCTAGCCCGGTAGGGGCCATCAACTTCTCAAGAAGTCAAGACCCTGTACCTCAGCCAAGATGCACCACCGCATATGATTCTCAGAAGTTTGCCTATTGGTGGTTGTTAAAGGGATCCTCTGGAGAAACCGATAGCAAAGGAGTAGTCCTATGTAGCCCAGATGGGTCGATCCACGAATAGTTTTTTGTCTTCTCAGTCTAAAACAACGAGGCCAAATATGAAGTGCTCCTAGCTGGCCTTCGAGCCACACGGGGAGTCAAGGTCGAGCACCTCTACATTTTAGCCCGGTAGGGGCCATCAATTTCTCAAGAAGTCAAGACCCTGTACCTCAGCCAAGATGCACCACCGCATATGATTCTCAGAAGTTTGCGTATTGGTGGTTGTTAAAGGGATCCTCTGGAGAAACCGATAGCAAAGGAGTAGTCCTATGTAGCCCAGATGGGTCGATCCACGAACAGTTTTTTGTCTTCTCAGTCTAAAACAACGAGGCCAAATATGAAGTGCTCCTAGCTGGCCTTCGAGCCACACGGGGAGTCAAGGTCGAGCACCTCTACATTTTAGCCCGGTAGGGGCCATCAATTTCTCAAGAAGTCAAGACCCTGTACCTCAGCCAAGATGCACCACCGCATATGATTCTCAGAAGTTTGCCTATTGGTGGTTGTTAAAGGGATCCTCTGGAGAAACCGATAGCAAAGGAGTAGTCCTATGTA